GTCAGATCCGGTTTGCAAATGAATTTTCTTGGTCACCGGGATGGTGTCGGATCAGTATTAGAAGCAGAGAAGCCATGAGCCATGAGAAAATATTGGATCATTCATTTAATGTCCGGGACGTGTGTTTTCTCTTTGGAGGAAGTTTGTTTTTGAGCCTGTTGACAAATATTTTCACTTGAAATGACTGACAGAGCTGTACACAAATATTAGAAGGCAAGGCAAGGCAATTTTATTTGTATAGCACAATTCATACACAAGGCTACTCAAAGTGCTGAACAAAATAAGATTAAAATTAAAAGAGCATTAAAATCATAAATAATCACAGTAAAATAGAAAGATAAAAATATAAAATCCCTCAGTTGTATGCACAGCTAAACAGAACTATTTTTAACCTGGTTTTAAACCTTGTCAGGGAGGAGGCCTGTCTCACATCTTCAGGAAGATTGTTCCAGATTTTAGCAGCATGAATCTGAAAAGCAGCCTCCCCATGTTTAGTTCTGACTCTGGGCACTAACAGGAGTCCAGTCCCTGTGCTCCTCAGAGTCCGGGCTGGTTCATATGGGACTAACATGTCACTAATATATTTTGGTGCGAGGCTATGGAGAGATTTGTACACAAGCAGAGCTGTTTTAAAGTCTATTCTCTGAGCCACAGGAAGCCAGTGCAGAGACCTGAGAACTGGACTAATATGGTCGTACTTCCTGGTTCTAGTCAGGACTCGAGCTGCTGCATTTTGAATGTACTGCAGCTGTTTTACAGCCTGTTTGGACAGACTTGTGAGCAGGACATTGCAGTAGTCTAACCTACTGGAGACAAATGCATGGATAAGAATCTCCAAGTCTGCTTTAGACACTATGTTTTTGATCCTGGCAATGTTTTTTAGATGGTAAAAAGCTGCTGATGTTACTGATTTGATGTGGCTATTAAGTTTACCCCTAGATTTCTGACCTGGTTTGAAGGTTTTAGGGAGAGAGACTGTAGGTGACAGATGACGCTCTCTCTTTGTTTCTGGGGACCATTCATTGGATTATTCATTTAATTAATAAATAATATACAATACACTATGTTAGGTCTTGGTTCAATGGGTTTTATGCTATAATTTCAATATATTTTAATAAACATTGAACCAGTCTGGCCCTTGACTTGTAGCAAATAGATTTTTTGGCCTTTGATGTATTAGACTTTGACATCCTTGTTTATATAGTGCAGATAGAAGGCCATGGTGTGAATGAGCAGAGGGTCTACACCAAGCTTCATCGGATAGAATTAGATTTGTCTTTTCTTCTGACATTTAATAACTTTCATTTATGTTGGATTTTCTAAAAAGGATCTTCAGTGTTTGGGGATAGATGGGTCGATATAAATGTATTGTTGGGATTATACATGAAAAGAATCAAACAGAAAAGAATCCTCTCAAAAATATATGCCGCACATTTAATTATCCATGCTCTCAAACATAAAGACCGCTCAATAAAAGATTACAACCACTCTTTGTAAACTTTTTAGCGAAGGGTTTCTGATAATCACAGTGGGTAATAAAAACACCTTGCTGTGATATCGGTCTGTGGAGAGTCGTTGGTCTTTGAAATACATTCATCAAAAGGCATCAAAACATCTCCAGCTAAGCGCGAGATGACGGGAGATGGTCAATATCGTGTGAAATAAAGAGAATAATAATAATTTCATCATTTCATGCGTTTGAAGGGGTTGAGGTGAAACATATTGATCTTAGAGGACTCTTAACTGCATCAACAGCCTCATCACAAGCACACATCAAACAGCATTTCATCTGCCGTCATTTCTTTCACATTTGGAATTCAACAAATGTTTCTTAGAGAGAGAGAGAGAGAGAGAGAGAACGAGAAAGAGAGACAGAGAGAGAGAGAACGAGAAAGAGAGACAGCGAGAGAGAGAACGAGAGACAGAGAGAGAGAGAACGAGGGATAGAGAGAGAGACTGAGAGAACGAGACAGAGAGAGAACGGGAGAACGAGACAGAGAGAGAACGAGACAGAGAGAGAACGAGAGAACGAGACAGAGAGAGAGCGAGAATGAGAGAGAGCGAGAGTGAGAATGAGAGAGAGAGAGAGAGAACGAGAGAGACTGAGAGAACGAGACAGAGAGAACAGGAGAACGAGACAGAGAGAGAATGGGAGAACGAGACAGAGAGAGAACAAGACAGAGAGAGAGAGAGAGAGAGAGAGCGAGAATGAGAGAGTGAGATAGAACGAGAGAGACTGAGAGAACGAGACAGAGAGAGAACGAGGGAACGAAACAGAGAACAAGAGAACGAGACAGAGAGAAAAAGAGATAGAGAGAGAGAATGACAGAGAGAGAGAGAGGAGAGAGAAGAGACAGAGAGAGAACGATGGAGAGATAGAACGAGAGAGACTGAGAGAACGAGAGAACGAGACAGAGAGAGAACAAGGGAACGAAACAGAGAACAAGAGAACGAGACAGAGAGAAAAAGAGATAGAGAGAGAGAATGACAGAGAGAGAGAGAGAGGAGAGAGAAGAGACAGAGAGAGAACGATGGAGAGAGAGAATGAGAGAGAGAGAGAACGAGTGAGAGAGAGAAAGAGAGAGAATGATGGAGAGAGAGAATGAGAGAGAGACAGAGAGAGCGAGAATGAGAGAGAGAGAGAGAGAGCGAGAGAGAGAGCGAGAATGAGAGAGAGAGAGAGCGAGAATCAGAGAGAGAGAGAATGAGAGAGAGAGAGAGAAGGAGAGAAAAGGGAGAGAGCGAGAACGATAGAGAGAGAGCGAGAGAGAGCGAGAATGAGAGAGAGAGAGAGCGAGAATCAGAGAGAGAGAGAATGAGAGAGAGAGAGAGAGAAGGAGAGAAAAGAGAGAGCGAGAACAATAGAGAGAGAGAGAGAGAATGAGAGAGAGAGAGCGAGAAAGAGAGAGATGGCAGGTTTTGGCATTGGCATATAGTACTGTATATAATCGGGGACTTGTTTGAGGGGAAAAACACATACACAATGACAATAATCAATCAATCCATCAATCATTTGTACAAGGCCATTCAAAGTGCTTTACAAGAGCAACTTAAAAATAAAGATCAAAATGCCAAGGCAATGAAATATACAATCATTTCATAACAAAGGATTATAGGAGGATTTTCCAACATTTTAGGAAAGAACCGCTCTCTCCACTTTTTGAACAAAACTCTCTGGTCTTATTTGACGTACATGTATCACCAGAATGATTGACAGTTGGGAGGACCAATAGTCTTGATGATCCACCCGGAAGTAGAAAATCCTTCTATATGCCTTTAAAACAGAGCAGCAAAATAAGTATGGGGTTTAATTCTTTCTTTTATTTGGTAAATACTAGGGAGCTATTATTTTTGCGTAGGGCGACAGTAGCTCAGTTGGTAGAGCATTGGCCTTTGGGCCTGAAGGTCGTGGGTTCGAGCCCACCATAAGACCTACTTCACGACTCCCACTGATGACTGCTGTCGTTGTGTCCTTGGGCAAGACACTTAACCCTACTTTGCCCAAAGCCCCAACTGAAACATCTCAGCTCCTGTGGACTCACCATCTGCAGGAGGATCAGTGAGGGGCTGGTGCTCTGTGTACTAGGTGCAGCTCTGACTGACACCCCCCCGACCCAGAAATGGATTAAGGGGAAGAAAATGGATGGATGGATGGATATTATTTTTGCATCTCGACTTGGATTTGTCTGTAATTAGGATTGTTGTGGATGTCACAAGGTGGACCAAGGGAGCGTGTGCGTGCGTGCGTGATGGGCGTGTGTGGGATGGGCGTGCGTGCGTGTGTGTGTGTGTGATGGGCGTGAGTGCAATTAGGTAAAAAGCACAGGTGTGAGTGTGATGTGAGAGAAGGTGTCCGGAGCAGGAGTGAGCAGACGGGGCAGAGCGAGCAGCGATCGGGCCAGAGCAGCGATCGGGCCAGAGCAACCAGCGCGCACGAGACATCGCGCACGGAGCCTGGCGGAGTGGACCAGAGGAGGAGACACCGGTGACAGGAGGCGTCGTGGGGAACTGGAGGGGGAGAGTACGGCGACCCCCCTCCTCGCAGCTAAGTGGCTTTCCTGTTCGTTGCCGGTGGTTGTGGGAATAAGGCTGTGGCTATTTTAGTTCTTTGGAGTGCTGTGTTCTTTTTGTGTGAGCCGGGCTTGTAGCCCCTACCACCACCAGCCCAAGCCTCCCCCCTGTCACTGGCCTAGTGTGTTGACGGACCTCCCTCTCTACACAGGCAGCCCGCTGCTGTGGATCGTTTTGTGCCCTGAGACCCGTGCGCACTGGCGGACGGGAGCGGCGCACCGAGCAGACCAGGAGCGGCGCGCGCACCGGCTTTTGAGGGGCGCACCACGACCTTCACGACTCTTTTAAATAGCATTTTTAAATTGGGACCCAGTCTTTTATATAATAGTATTAATAATCCATTTTAATTGTTCCTAAATAAAATTGTTATTCCTTTTAATTGTGTTGAATGTCAATTAAATAGAGTGCTCCCCTATGGACAGTAATAGGGTTGTACGGGGCCCTCCACCCCCGTGACAAGTGGCGTTGCATGACAGGATTGTCCAATTGGGTTGAGCCTCTATTAATTAGGCATGTCAACCGAGGAATTGCACCCAGGTGCGCAGCCAATGATGATGATGCCATTTTTAATGGGAGGACCTTGGGTGTCTAAATTTAACGGGGTTGGATCGGAGATTAGGTTGGGAGAATGGCGATCCCAATTAGAGACTATGCTCACGTTTCAACAAGTAAGGGACGCACACAAAGCAGACTTTGTAATAGGATTTTTAGACGGAGAAGTAAAACGTGAAATTTTCGCTTTGGATCGTGGAGATCGAAACACCCCAAAGAAAATATTTGATGCACTGTCTGAACTGTACGGGAACAACACCCATGTCTCCACTTTAAGAACACAATTCTTTAATTGCAGACAGGAGCCTAATCAGACTTTGAGGTCTTTTTCCCTACACTTGCGTGAACTGTTTTCCAGGCTAAAACAAAAAGACACCATGGGCTTGGGGCAAGGAGACCTGGTGTTGCGAGACCAGTTCATCCTGGGCCTTAAAGAAGGACCAGTACGGCAAGAGTTTCGTCGGCAGGTACAAAAAGCCCCCCAGCTCACCTTCGATGAGGTAAAGATGGAAGCTTTAGCATTGGAGGATGAACAAGGACAGCAATGGCCTGCTTTCGAGTGTACAGCGGTGAGTAAAACCACACCCGTGAGCTCACACGGTACTGATTGGAAACAAGAGCTGCGTGCTGAGATCCTGAAGGATGTAAAGGAGCATATGTCTGAAATGACGAGGACTATTTTAGACCAGTTAAAGGGTGCAGCAGGACCTCAACCTAATTCTCCAACATCTGGGTCCCCCCGATACAGGGACCGAAGCCCAAGACCAAAGTCCCCATATAGCCATGGCAGATTCAGGTGGGACCCCCAGGGCCGTCCCATTTGCAACTTATGTGAACAAATTGGTCATATCAGTCGTAGGTGCCCCTCCAAACCAGCTGGGCAGGATTTATAGGCTCCCCGGCCACTGCGGGTCAAGTGTCCGGACTTCTTCCAAGTGACCCAGCTTATAATGGTTTAAGAGTTAAACTCACTGGAGACTGCCCTCTAGTGGATGTGAGAGTAGATGGGATAAACGTGAAGTGTCTGCTTGATACAGGGTCTCAAGTAACATTGTTCAGTGAGAGTGTATGCAACGAGCTCTTTAGGAGCAAACAAGTTCGTAACAGTGATGAAATTCCCTGGCTCACTCTGAGGGCAGCGAACGGACTTAACCTCCCGTGGGTAGGGTACATGGTGGCCGACTTTGAAATCCATGGGGTTTCTGCACGTGGCATTGTAGTGGCTAAGGACGAGTGTATTGGAGCAGACAAAGCCATCCTAGGGATGAACGTGATTACTGACTGTTGGGAAGAACTTTTCACGCAGTACAAGGCCTCCCCCAAACACTCGACGCCACCACTGAGCAGGGAATGGAACACTGTTTTTATCGACTGTCAACGCATCCGTGCTGCCTCTAATGCAGAGCCATGGCAAGCGAGATTAGCCAGTCGTACTCCTGTAACCATCCCCGCACAAAGTGAAATGACTGTTTGGGCCAAAATCCCACGGCCCTCTTCAAACCAGCCAGGCTGTGCGCTGGTAGAACCCCTTGGGGAAGATGGAGGAGTTGGGGTGGCCAGAGCATTAGTGACTGTGAGAAAGGCGCGCATTCCAGTGAGGGTTAGGAATGTCCATCCGTACGCTCTAACGCTCAGCAGGTTCCAGAGGCTGGCGACTGTCTCGGGCCGTCGACCCTGACGCGGTGCGGGATGGGAAGGAGCTCTCCATTCTGAATGTGGGTCCTGGAGTCGTGGAGGTTAATCTGGTCGACACTGCTGATCCGGACAAACCAGAGGTGAATGAGACAACTAATGCCCTTCCCCTCTCTAAAGGAGATGGACTCACAGATGATGAGCAAAGACAATTGAATGAACTACTGCAAAGATGGAGTCATGTGTTCTCGACACACGAGGAAGACTATGGACGAACGGGGGCTGTGAAACACCGGATTCCCACAGGTGACTCTAACCCCATTCGTGAGCGGTACAGGCCAGTACCCCCTACCCTTTATAAGGAAATCCGTAGCCTCCTTAAAGAAATGCTAGACGGGGGAATAATCAGAGAGAGTTGTAGCCCGTGGGCGGCCCCAATTGTTCTGGTTCAGAAGAAAAATGGTTCTTGGCGTTTTTGCGTTGATTACCGCAAAATTAACAGTGTCACGCATAAAGATGCCTACCCCCTGCCCAGAATAGAAGATTCACTAACTAGCCTGACTAAAGCAGAGTGGTATTCCACGTTGGATTTAGCCAGCGGTTATTGGCAGGTGGAGGTAGAGGAGAAAGACAGGGAAAAAAACCGTATTCACAACCCCATTTGGTTTGTTCGAGTTTGAGAGGATGCCATTTGGGTTGTGCAATGCCCCTGCAACCTTTCAAAGATTGATGCAAAGGTGTTTGGGAGATCGGCTAGCGGAGTCTGCTATGGTTTATCTGGATGATGTGATTCTATTTTCCAGAGACTTCCCAGAGCATCTCCAACACCTGGAGGCAGTATTCCGCTCCCTGGGGCAGTATGGCCTTAAGCTCCGCCCAGAGAAGTGCCAGCTTTTCCAGAGGCAGGTCAAGTTTCTAGGACATGTCGTCAGTAGCCAGGGAGTTTCGGCAGATCCAGACAAGGTAGCAGCCGTATCTAATTGGCAACCCCCTACCACGATACGGCAAGTGCGCTCATTTCTAGGATTTGTGGGGTACTATAGGCGGTTTGTAAGGGACTTTTCCAAAATTGCCAAACCCCTAAATGCACTTTTAGTTGGCACGGGCCGTAATAGAGGCAGACGTTCCCCCTCTATTGAGTGGTCCGACCAATGCGACGCTGCCTTCCAGCAGTTAAAGCAGGAATTGCTACAGGCCCCCATTTTAGCGTATGCGGATTACACACTCCCATTTGTGTTATACACAGATGCTAGTAATGCAGGGCTTGGAGCTGTATTGGCCCAGGTACAAGATGGGGTCGAAAGGGTTATAGCATATGCGAGTAGGAGTTTACATCCCGCTGAGCGCAACGACTCAAACTATAGCTCTTTTAAACTTGAGCTTTTGGCGATGAAATGGGCTATAGTTGAGAAGTTCAAGGACTATTTGTGGGGGGCTAAGTTTGCTGTAGTGACAGACAACAATCCACTAGTGCACCTGCAGTCTGCTAAACTAGGGGCTGTCGAACAAAGGTGGGCTGCACAGTTGGAAAATTTCGATTACACCATCAGATACCGGCCAGGCAGGGAGAACACTAATGCTGACGTCCTTTCTAGACTGCCTGCTCCCCCAGACCGGGAATTGGCCGGAGAAGAGAGACTGGTTGGGGCAGTAGAAACTATGTCTATGGACTCTCCGCCCAATCGCTGGAGGTGGGACCCAGAGCGCTGGAGAAGTCTACAAAATGAAGACCCCGACTTACAAAGCATAAAGGAGCACGTTGAAAGAGGTACAAGAGGTAAAAACTATTGTATCTATGTGCTAATTATGTATAGCTACAAAATAATTATGAAAACTGTTGCACTTTGTCATTCTGCACTTTATGAATGCAACTGGCACTTTTCATCTGCACTTTTACTATATATTGCATGTTTATTGTCTATGTTTTGTATTTTAATTAACTCTGCTATGTATTTTAATTGTATTTTTGATTGTATAAGGACTACAGATGGAAATTAGCATTGTGCTAAATCTGGGGCAGCCATCTTTTTAATGTACCTGTCCGTTGTCCTTTCAAATAAATAACTAACTAACTAACCCTACTGTGCGCTAACGAGAGACAATTGTTAACCCAATCTGCCAAGATCTTGTTGAGGCACTGGAGGAGGCTAGAGTTAAGAGACGGGATTCTATGTCGGATTGTCCAAGACCCCCAGACTCTAGAGACTCTTGCCCAGATTGTTGTCCCCACATCGCAGGCGAGGCCCCTATGGACTGTATATCACGAACAGATGGGGCATCCAGGATTGGAGAAGTCATTGACTCTTTTAAGAAGGAAGTTTTATTGGCCACAAATGGAGGACATGGTCAAAACCTGGCTATCTGCTTGCCCGCGATGCATGCTGCACAAACCCGGACCCCACGGTAAGGCCCCTTTAGTGCCACTTGTAGCGAGAGCCCCCATGCACATTGTTGCTGTTGATTTCTTGACCTTTAGTCGCCCTACAGATAGGTACCAAAATATATTAGTCATGACTGATTTGTTCACAAAGTTTGCATGGGCGGTCCCAACCCTGGATCAAACTGCCTTGACTACAGCACGGGCCTTGTGGACTTACTTGATCCAGCCATTTGGCTGCCCTGAGGTGTTACACTCGGACCAAGGGCCAAATTTTGAGTCTCGGTTAATCCAAGAACTCTGTCAGATCTACGGGTGCATTAAGAGTAGAACGACACCCTATCACCCAATGGGGAACGGAGCCTGTGAAAGGCTAAACCAGACTCTATTGAACCTGTTGGGCACGCTTGAAGTAGAGAAACACCAGCGATGGGTGGAGTACTTACCTGGACTAATTCAAGCATATAACAACACTGTTCATGCTTCTACAGGATACGCACCAGCATTCTTGATGTTTGGCCGCCACATGAGGACCCCAGTTGACCTATTGACCGGGGGTTTTAGCACCAAAGCCCCTATGGACGCTACAGACTGGGTTACTAGGCACCAACAGCAACTGACATGCTTACGAGAAGACATCAAGGAGCCTTCAGAATGCAGGTCAAAAAAATAAAAGACTGTATGATCGCACTGCAAAGGAGGCCCCGCTTTTACCGGGAGAGCGGGTGCTGGTGCGTGACCACAGGAGGCGACAGACTGGGAAACTGGGTGACCACTGGCAGACCAGACCCCATGTTGTTGTAACCAGGCTCCACCCCAAACGCCCAAATTATAGTGTGCGTCCTGAAGGAAGAGATGGCCCTGAAAGAGTCATCCATCGCAACAACTTGGGACCACGCCCTAACTACATACAACCAGAGGCGGAACATGGAGGTGACTATAATCGTGGCGCCTCATTGCCACACTGGGGATTTATGGTGCCCCTGGTGGGGGGTGTGCAAGAAGACCCAGAGCCCCCACCAGAACCAAGGAGGTCCCAGAGGCCCAACATGGGGGTGCGGCCTCCAAGATTTAGGGACTAGACCTCTTGTTCCCTGTGTCTGCATGAGTGATGTTCCAGGGACTAGAACATATTAGTGGGGGAGGATGTCACAAGGTGGACCAAGGGAGCGTGTGCGTGCGTGCGTGATGGGCGTGTGTGGGATGGGCGTGCGTGCGTGTGTGTGTGTGTGATGGGCGTGAGTGCAATTAGGTAAAAAGCACAGGTGTGAGTGTGATGTGAGAGAAGGTGTCCGGAGCAGGAGTGAGCAGACGGGGCAGAGCGAGCAGCGATCGGGCCAGAGCAACCAGCGCGCACGAGACATCGCGCACGGAGCCTGGCGGAGTGGACCAGAGGAGGAGACACCGGTGACAGGAGGCGTCGTGGGGAACTGGAGGGGGAGAGTACGGCGACCCCCCTCCTCGCAGCTAAGTGGCTTTCCTGTTCGTTGCCGGTGGTTGTGGGAATAAGGCTGTGGCTATTTTAGTTCTTTGGAGTGCTGTGTTATTTTTGTGTGAGCCGGGCTTGTAGCCCCTACCACCACCAGCCCAAGCCTCCCCCCTGTCACTGGCCTAGTGTGTTGACGGACCTCCCTCTCTACACAGGCAGCCCCGCTGCTGTGGATCGTTTTGTGCCCTGAGACCCGTGCGCACTGGCGGACGGGAGCGGCGCACCCGAGCAGACCAGGAGCGGCGCGCGCACCGGCTTTTGAGGGGCGCACCACGACCTTCACGACTCTTTTAAATAGCATTTTTAAATTGGGACCCAGTCTTTTATATAATAGTATTAATAATCCATTTTAATTGTTCCTAAATAAAATTGTTATTCCTTTTAATTGTGTTGAATGTCAATTAATAGAGTGCTCCCCTATGGACAGTAATAGGGTTGTACGGGGCCCTCCACCCCCGTGACATGTACATCCTTTTGTGCGAATGTGTTAAAAAGTGTGTGTTTCTGGTTTTATGTAGTGACTGCTTGGTTCGGGACAATTTCTCTGCTCTGCTTCAGTCTGAAACCCTGAAGGCTGCGATGGTCTGCCAGTGCTTTTTTCAAAACTAAGCCTTCCTCTGGATTCATGCGACCTGGTTCGTCTTCTCTGCTGTGGGTCAGTGTAGAACTCTGAAGACTGTTCTGGAGGTAAATTTACACACGGAAACGGCAAAAAAGCAATAATTGTAAAGTACAAAGTATAGCTGTTTCAGGATGCTACTTAGGACATGCTGCCGTTTCCAGCGCAGTAAAAGGACATAGAGTTAGGTTAAAACAACACTGTTGCTTTGCTTGTCTCTGAAATATAATGGAAGTTTTAACATTTGGACATTTTATACTATTATTTGAACAACATTTCTCATGGATCCATGCTTTCATCATGTTTGGACACGAACAACAGTGGCTCAGTTGGTAGAGCATTGGCCTTTGAGCCCGAAGGTTGTGTTTTCAAGACCTTCTCCACCAACTCTTGGGCAAGACACTTAACCCCACTTTGCCTGAAGCCCCGACTGAAAGATCTCAGCTCCTGTGGACTCATCACCTGCAGGAGGACCAGTGAGGGGCTGGTGCTCTGTGTACTGGGTGCAGCTTTGGCTGCCACCCCAGACCCAAAAATGGATTAAGGGGAAGAAGATGGAAAGATGGGTGGACAGCTAGTTCTGATTTGCGCTGTATGTAATGCAAGTGAAAAGTACCTTTGCACTTCAGTCTCTGCTGTGTCAGCAGAGACTGAAGTGTGTGTGTGTGTGTGTGTGTGTGTGTGTGTATATGTGTGTGTGTGTTGTATATGTGTGTGCGTGTGTGTATATGTGTGTGTGTGTGTGTGTGTGTGCGTGTGCGTGAGTGTGTATCAGACAGAAAATTAGCATTTAAATCAAGTTCTACAGCTGCACTGAATGATTCTGTATTGATGACAGATATGGATCAAGGACAAAGCAGAAACACAAACTTTTGGATTATCAGACATGAGTTTTGTCTCAGCTGTTCTAAACACTGAACTGATGTGTATACAAAACAGACATAAGACATTCCTTACATCTAATTTGAGTATTTTCCTATATGTTAGAATCATCCTGCATTGTCCTGAATCCATAGCTGAAGTTCTGGTCTGATGTTATGTTAAAAAAGTTCTGTTTATTTTCACTTGAAACCTGCTGGCAACAGTGAGGAAGTAAAGCTGATCCATTCTGCAGTTTTGAGGACCCACGGTGCAGCTTATGATCGAACACAAATATCGTTTAACACAAAATAATCAAATTTTAGAAAACACTGTTCCCATTACTTATTTTTACAACCCAGTTTTGCTTGAATTCTCAACAAAAGGAAGGGAATGTTCTTTTAGTGACCTCCAGTGGTTTAAGTTTTATCAAGACAACATTTACTGTATAAATGACTGTTCAAAGTTGTGCACTCTTTTCTACAAGACACTGCACAAAGTGTTGAAGTGTAATAAAAACCCATAGAAACTGCAAACGGTTTTAACTTGGTACAAATGGTCAAAATATCATAATTCAAAACCATAACAAGGAAATTATAATGAACATAAAAATATTACATAAATGAACAATAATAATAATCACAAAAAAAGTAAATAACATTGAAACAAATGTATATATAAAAAGAGAAAAAAGGTGTATTAAAATTAACAATACTCATAATAAACTAAAGAAGTAAAAGAAAAAAGAAAGACAGAAATCATTCGTACACACACACACATATCAACGTAGACGCCCAACTGTGTGTATTCTGAATCAGCATTAACTATGAATGTGTCTTTGTACACTGTAAAACATTGATGCCTTAATGCTCGTGCTGCAGCCAAGGGATGAACACGTATTAAAAATAAACACTTTCTTGGCAGAGGTTGTTTAAATATTTCTCTGCATTTGGCAAATTTTTAAACCTTGAATCCAGCTCTCTGTTGTATTTTTGATGTGCTAAGAATATAACATGAGGAGAAGTGCGATAAAAGGGTTTAGAGTCGGTGTATACCCAAGAAAGTAAAAAGCTTATTTAGAACTTGGCTCTGTCTTGTGTGAGGATAGAGCAATATTTTTATAGGGTGAATTGTATTTATGTGTTTCTTTGAAGAGTTATTTTATGTTGTTTGTATTTTGTTCAAACCCATGTATAATCCAGTGGGGGCGGGTCCCTAGCCGGTGGGGGTGTACCCGGAAACAGAATTACCCAATGCTTTTGTAGGGCGTCTTCTTTCCTCTCGAAAACTGCTTTACAGGTTGGTCCCCAAGTCGGCTCTTGGCCCAAGGCTACGCTCCAAATGCTGTCAATGCTGAGGGGAGCATTGACATTTTTCTTTTGGACCAGCCTAGTTTAGCCGCTGTGGGCTTCAGAATGCACTCGTTAAATGAATGGGGCTCACACACAGACACACACATGTGCGCAAACAGGCCTCACAGAAGCGTAGTCTATGCTTTCTCTCTTTCTTGCACGTATTTCTTCAATTCTTTTTATTTTAAATTCAGGTTTGAACAAGATCTCTGTTCCAAAGTTGTTCCGAAGAGTAACTCCACATGCAATGACACACACAGTGAGTGGGTTTATAAGCAAAAGTCCCATTAAACTAATTTATTATTGGTCTGACAAGTTTTGGTCTTGTCTTCAAGCGCACTGCAGAGAAGCCGCTCGAGCCTCTTGACCTCTGAACACTTTCAACTGCGTCTCGTCACTTTCTCTTATTACACACACGTTGTATCTGTAATTGTAAATAAAATAGCTTTTGTACTTTTTTCTCTCTTATGTTTACTTTTCACCCATGCTCAGCTGCTGCAGCGTTAATCATTTCATTTCAGCTGCACTCCTTTAAGCACATGATTCCTGTTAAGTTGTTTTTTCTTCGTGTAGCAAACAAAACAACACATGAACACCAAGGGACAGTGTATCAATCCAGAACAACAGGAGGGAGGTATGTTTGTACAAATATTTAATACATTTATTCTGTTATGATATTCGTGATATTGCGCCCAATGAGGCTGAAGCAGAACACAAATTACATTTTTTTTCTCTTCAATAACACAATTGACACGTTTGACACAAATGGTCGCCTCTCAATTCAACCCCCTCAAACCAACATGATTTCACCAATCCACCTGTCACAGCCCCAGAGATGAACAAAGTCTGGCATGTCCACAAGAAACACAGGTTGTACAAGTGCAATGCTATTAAATAGCTTAAAGCTGCATATTTTATGTCAATATGACAAGTAAAGGATGGATAAATGTGGCGTGTACTCCACGATCACAAGGAAGGGCAAGGGACTGCAACACCAGTTTTTTGTATTTTTATTCAGAATTTAGAATACATTTTTACAACATGTTTTCACGTGTGCAAATCCTGCAAACTGAAGGGTTTTTTTGTTTCAACCCAGCAGACACACTTCAATGTACGTCAATTGTATATAAATCCTGTGTATGAGTCCTTGCACCACCTGGCTGCATCATGACGTCAATAATAATAATATGACGTCAATTATAATAATATTTAACTATAAAAAGTACTCTATAATCCCCCAAAAGATTACACTGTAGTTCCAGACCAGCACTGACCAGCACTGAGATTATTCAAACAAACCCTGTCCTTTTTCCCCATAAAGTAGTGTCTAAACCTCCCAAGATATGGAGAAAATTAATTTCACGTGACCTGCTTCGATTACATCTGCGCAGAGTGTGGTGCAAGATGGTAGAAGACCCGAGGGCAAGCACATATGCCTTCTCCTCGCATTCGTTTTAATCCAAAATATGAATCAAAGCGGTTCGCATCGCAGCCCAACTCACAGACTACACGCATGCATTGGTGACATACACTCGAGCGGGGCATACGTGGCCTCCAGCT